CGGACGGACGAGGCCGAGGTAGGGCGGCGGGGAGGCGGGTCCCGGGCTGGGGTCTGGGGTGCCTGGGTGGCTCGCCCATCCGCCTCGTCTGCCCCCAGCCCGTCGGAGCCCTGCTGCTGGAACACTGCAGAGTCACCCAGGAAGAGCCCACCGGATTCTCCATCAGTGAGTGTGGGGGGTGACCCCCAGCTCCGCCCCATCCCTCCCCAGGAACAAAGTCCGCTGTTCTGGGCGGGGCTCCTCTATGGGGCAGGCTGTGCGCACCTGTCCCAGCCACGCCCTAGCCGTTCCCCTCCTCCCCTTAGGACTTACTCTTCTCCGTTGGGGATCCCTGATCTCTCGGTGTTCTTCGCTGTCCTATCACCCGTTCTCAGTGCCCGGCTTTGTGCCAGCAACGCTGGAGGATTTTCTTGGGTCGCCTGGAGAGGGTCAGATTTGCAGGGAAAGCAAGAGCTTTGACTAGTTTTTTGGGGTGGCTGTAACGTGGTGCCACAGACTGGGGGACTCCAACATCGGGAATTTCTCTCTCCCAGTGCTGGAGGGCAGAAGTTTGAGATTGGGATGTCGGTGGGACTGGTTCTGTCTGAGGGAGGGTCCGTCCCAGGTTCTCCCAGTTTCTGCAGGCCGTTGGCAACCTTTGGCGGTCCTCGGCTTGTAGAAGCGTCACCTCATGTCAGCTTCTACCAGCCGTGTTACAGCCTTTATCCGATGTATCTGTGTCCCAAATTCCCCGTTTTATGAGGACACTAGTCTTATTGCAATGGGAGTCTACCCTGCTCCGGTGTGACCTCACTATAACGTCACCTGTGGCGATCTTACGTACAAGTGGGGGTCCTGTCTGCAGGCAGCAGGAGCGGGCCTTGATCGTCCCCGTTGGGGGATACAATTCAACCCACTGCCAGTGAGGAAGCGATGAGTCTGGGCTGGTACTAGAGAGGACAGTTATGGACAGTGGCCCGTGGCCAGCAGGGGTGGGAGTGAGCCAGGACAGATGGGCCCCTCCCTCGGCAGGTTTCGTGGAGGACCCGGAAAGGAAGTACCACTTTGAATGTTGCAGTGAGGAGCAGTGTCAGCAGTGGATGGGAGCTCTGCGTCAAGCCAGGTGGGGCCTGGGCTGATGCGGGGGGGCCCGGGAGGCCGGCGCAGGAGCCAGGCATCCCTAAGCACTGGCCTCTTTTCTTTCCCCCCAGCTACGAGTTCATGCGCAGGAGCCTCATCTTTTATAGGAACGAGATCCAGAAGATGACTGGCAAGGTGGGTGCAGGACGTGGGGCGTAGGGTAGGGGGTTCCTGGGCTGGGGCTCATACTGCCCCCCCCCACAGGACCCCCTGGAGCAGTTTGGCATATCAGAAGAGGCCCGGTTCCAGCTGAGCGGCCTGAAGGCGTGAGTCCGGATCCGGCTCCTCAGCTTTACTCCTGAGGCTGGAAGGAACCCCGCCCTCGCCAGCCCGGGGGTTGAGCCCCGGACTTGATCCTGGATCCGCCTGGATCTGCGGAGTGAGCTGTTCCGGCTCAGAGACTTTAAAAGCCTGAGGTTGCTGAGGATGGGTGAGCACTGTGCCTTGGGACCCCCTAGACTGGGGTGGCACCTCTCAATGCCACACGCTGCTGCCGGGGGACAAGCATCTACTCCTAGGCGCTGTGCCCGGTCCTATAGGTACGTCTTCCAGGGCAGCTCCTCTGCCCGATGCAGGCTTAATGTGCGGAGCTAGACGCTGCTGTGAAAGGAACGGGCCGCACCCCAGGCCACTGTGAATTCCGCCACCGAGGGCGGGGTTGGCTGGCGCCTCTGGGCTGAGCTGGACCCGTTCAGCCCCGGGCCGGTGGGCTCATTCTGTTTAAATAAAGGTACCTCTTTTTCACACGGGATGGGGTGCAGTGAATGCACAGTGGAACACGTGTCCTCCACAGGCTGGTGGGAGCTGGCTCTCCAGGGGAGTGAGGCGCAGGTGCTTGGGAGGAAGGGGCTGGGCTGTCCAAATAGTGGGGAGACCTGGGACCCAGAGCTTGGCAAGGCAGGGAGGCTAGGGACCTGGCCATGGGGCCTCTGGGGCTCACAGGTACGAGAGAGGGCGGAACGGGTGTGCTGGGGTCCTCAGGTGGCCTGCAGGCTCACCTGTCACAGGTCTCCCTCTCGAGTGCAGGCAGGGCCTCAGGATGGGTTTTGCCAACATTGAAGTCCCAATCACTTGGTTTTAGTTCCTCAACAGCTGTCCCGGGGGCCTGACCTAGTCTTTGTCAGCTGTGGCCCTGGACAGGTTAGGCCTCCCCGAGGTGGGCACTTGCTGTTTGCCAGTGCCACGGCAGCTGCCTTCAGGAACACGCCCGGCCTCTGCCGGGAGTGACCGTCCCCTGCACCCCCAAGGTTCTACGGTCTCACTGCGTCGTAACCAATAAGAAACGCCAACATACGAGATTCAAGTGGAAACAAGCCTTTTATTACAGTCTAGAGACGGAAATCAGAGTGCGGCGGGGTTCCCTTAGGGACAAGGTCGAGCCAGCAGGCCAGAGGAATGGGCCACACCAGCGCCCACGGAAGCAGTGCGGGAGAGCGACAAAGCGGGCCGGCGGTTACGGTCGTGGTCGAGGCTGTGTGAGTGGGGGTGAGCAGAGGAAAAGGGGGAGAGACCAACTGTCACTACCACGGACGGCACGGATAAATCGGGGTAGAGAGGTGGGTGGGCCTTAAATACGTCACAGGGTGGAGCTGGAAGGGAAGGCTGCCCCGCCTGACCGCGAGGCCATCTGAGTTAGCGTTTCCTGAGCATAGCGCCTGGCAGCCCGGGGCTCCCTGAGGTTGCCCGCGGTCACAGCCGCACCGGGTCCCCGCCCACTGGAGACCAGACCCCGCTCCCCGCAGAGTGCAGCCTTCCCTCCCTGCCAACAGCCGAGGGCTCTCAGGGTCAGGAGGGCCTGTCACGCAGGTGTGGTGATGCGGGGAGCCCACGCGGTGGTGCACGGTACCGCTGAGGTGATGCAGTGCTGAGCACAGGGCTGCTTGGGTCCAGCTCGGGGACGTGCCACGTGCTGTAACTTGGCTACTCTCAGCCCTGCAGCTTATTAGGGAGCCCTGTGCTCCTGATGGGGGGCACAGAATTTGGGGTGAGCACAGCACCTTTGTGCACCAAAAGCACCGACCGGGGTGGGGGGAGCGGAGCCAGAGCAGCAGTTAGTTATAGGACGGCCAGTTACAGGAACCTGTCCAAGCACCATCGTCAACCTGGACTATTGCTCTGGGCCAAATGTCACCCAGTGGCTGAAGCCTGCTCTGTACCCTTCTGGGCCCGCATCCACAGGGCCACTGCAAAGGCCGCTCCAGCCCTACCCCTGATATCAGAAGGGACTGAGCCCGGGCAGGCAGAGGGTCCCTTCAACCATGTCTGGGAGGATGGGGAGCGCTGGCCAGGCTGGGGAGGGCGGAAGCTCAAGGCCTTTTCTCTGGGAGCAAGTGAAGCTGTCACACAGCCCCACCTTCAGAAAAACACAAGTTTCCACCTTCCTTGGTGGGTGCCACCTCCCAGGGACAAGCATCTGAAGCCAGGGCTTTGATTGCACCTGCCTAGTCCTTCTGGAGCACCCATGTGGGGTCCGAGACCCCTGCCAGCCAGGACCTTTGGCCAGTGGCTCTCCCCGGGGAGCGAGGGCTTCTGGACACACCCAAGGATGGGGCACACTACTCAACTGAGATTCAGAACAGGTCACAGATAGCTGCACCCAAGGGCCCGAGAAGCCTGCTAGCAACCCCAGGAAGCAGCCAAACAGCCCTGCCGCCGCCCTGCGAAGCCCGCCTTTGCCCAGCCACCTCCGCACAGTCTTTCCCAAGCACCGTGGAGGCTGCCCCACTGGGGCACAGCACCCCAGCTTCGGGGCTGCAGGTCCGCTAGAGACATGGCACAGCCACAGGGACTGACCAGAGGAACGTGGGGCACTCTGGGCCAATGCCACTTGTCTGCACTTGAATAAATAAAAAGGTTTTTATCTCCTCACTTTTCTTTTTTTAAAGTTTACTGTGCATTATACAATCTAAAAATAAATGAAGTCAAGTCTATGAAATTTATAAATTTTCATCACATCTCTATAAAATACTGTCACTCGTCAGTGTGACTCTCTTCTGTACAAACACACCAGGCACCCACGGCTAACCTGCCCCACGCCCCGGCCGGCAGCCGCGGGCTGGCCATGCACCTGCCGGACGGCGCGAGCCCGCGACAGCAGACACACAGAGTAAAGCACTTGTTTCCCAGCAGCCCCGCGTCGGAGTCGGGTCCCCAACCTTCCCCACGAGCACCTCGCACAGCGGCTCCCGCCTGTCCACGCCCCGCCCCAGCCCCCGTGCAGCATCGGGGGGCCACCCGCCCGCCATCCTGCTAGAGGCACCGTCCTGGGACCCAGGGCTGACAGTCTGACCAGGAGTGTTCACAGTGACGGGGGGAGGGCCTTCTCCAAGGGACGTCAGAAGCCGAGTGACTCGCCCTTGACCTGGACAGGCGTGCCTTTGGTATGGGAGTGCGCGGGGAAGGCGGGGCGGGCGCGGGTTTTGGCGTTGGTCACCCTCGAGTCAGCACCAAGAGAACGTGGAGGCGGCGAGGCCTGGCGACGAGATAGCACCGGGCCCGGCTGTCGGCGTCTCCGCTGGCGGGCCAGTCCGTTGGGCCGATGTCTTTATATAGATCCTCTCATATATAGTATTTACACTTCTCAATAGGTTGCCTTTATGACTTCGGTGGAATAAAATAAGTCAAAGTTGTTTATACTTTTAAAAAAACGATAAATACTTTATCTAGAACTATGGACAGTACGAGCTGGAGCCAGGTCCAGCGTCTCCCGCAGGTCTGCGCAGCGTGGACTCACAGCAGGGCCTCGTCCTCGGTCTCTCCCGCCGGCCCCGCGGCCACCTGTCCTCGCGCAGGTCTCGCGGTTGAGGTAGAAATCCTAGTTACCTGCAGAGACGAGCATGGGAGGGAAGGCGGACCAGCATTAGCGTTCCCCTCGGAGAAGCCCACGTCCCCAGGCTGGGGAACCAAAGCCTACAGACGGACGGACGGACGGACAGAACGTGGTCCTCGCAGGCACCCCAAGCCACAACCCTGGCCCAGTCTGAGGTGGGAGGTCACTGTCCCAAGGCCCTTCGTGGGCACTGGGTCCCAGCCTCCCCCTTCCCCAGGAGCCTGAGAACCGAGACCCTCCTCGTTGCACCGCTGGGCACCACTGGGCACTGCTGACGGGGGCCGGTGAGTAGCCCCGCTGACCGGCCTGCACTCCCTCCCTGGAGGCGAATGGTCCCTGTCCAGCCCAGGGGCCACCTGTGCCAGGCATAGGGGGGCAGTTGTCCACTGCAGGCCAGATCGGAGCGCCTGGAGCCCAAGTGCTCCACGTGTACACCTCTGAGCTCTTCTGGCCGGTGCAGGCCACAGAGCCTTCTCTGACGGCGTGAGACCACTGTGAGCTAGAGTCACCCTACCTTCCAGGCCTTTCCACGAGGACTGAGGCACAGCCCGTCCCCAGACCCATGCCTTGACTGGGAGGTCATCACACTCCTGAGACCTCATGTCTGTTGCTACTTAAAACACACGCAGAAGGCCGAAGACAGCAGAAGACCTTGCGCCTGGCCCTGTCCCTCACATGCCGGCCCCACAGGCTGGGGACTGGCCCGGGAAGGCCCTCGCCCCAGAGGACACCAAGGCGGCACCGGCCATGGTGAGTCAGCTGCTGCGGGGCCCAGCTCTCTACTGCCCTCATGGTCAGTGGAGGAGCAGACGGGGACCCTCCCTGAAGCCTCGTGGCCACTGTCCTCACCCATTCTAAAGGTGGGCCCTTCCCACACTGCTCTCGCTGACCCCACACTAACGTCCGAAATGCACGGTCGGCCCATGTCCTTAGAGGCGGGAGCGCCGCCCACCCGCCAGGCAGCCCTTCCTGGACCTGGCAGCCCAGTGCCCCAGTGTGTGGGTGGGGGCCTGCGGGCAGGGAGCTGGCGGAGGAGCCCGGCTTCTGAAGGCCCAAGTCCCAACAGCCTACCAACGCATTAACTTTCCCTAAAACTCTGTGAGGTACATCAGAGAAAAAGGCTGAGACAGGCCCAACAGCGGACAGGCGGCAAGGATGGGGTTCTGAGCCGTCCCCACGGCCCCACACTAGGGCTGCCCAGGTCCCTGGCCTCTGCAGACATGTGACCGGAGAGCAGCAGTGAGCCCGAGCTGGGCTGCACAGGCCAGGCCGCCGGCGTCCTCTAACTTCCTCCTGGTCCCCTCCCCGCGGGAGCGCTGCAGGGACCCGGTATGAACGCCCAGGCGGGCAGGAGCCGGCCACTCCGCCCGAGCTGCAGTAGCCCTCGGGCCACTCTCGGATAGGCATGGCCGCCACAGCCGCCCTTCCCACCCTGCGCTTATTTTTCCTTTGCGCCTCTCAGAACCGACGGTGTCCACCTGTCGGCCATGGCCGAGCAGCCGCGGTCCCCAGGCCCCTCCGCAGAACCCGCGGGCCCCTCCGTTCTCTGCGAAAGGAAAGACAGTTGAGTTCTCGTACGGACCACCTGGTCGGGCTCTGGCCTTACCTTACAGAACAGAACTGCTAGCTAAGCAAGGTCTTTATCGCGGCTTAACCCCCGCAAGGCGCGCGGCATAAGGAGGCGGCATGCCAAGGGAAACCCACACGGCGGACGGCCCCGTGGAGCTGGCCTGCGGGAGCACGGGCGCGGCCTGGGCCAGGGCCAGCCCGGGCAGGGGCTGGTGGTGCACCGTGAAGGAGGGGCGGGAGACCTTGTGCGGGAGGGAGGCGAGCTTGATGGACAGAGCGCTGTTAGCAGGCGGCAGAGAGGCGGCAGAGGAGACAGGTAAGAAAGCTTGGTTAGCCGAGAGGGGCGCGAGG